AATATTTGCAAGTTACATGATTCAACTACTCATTATAGATGCAGATATTTTCTCTTTTGTCTGTTTTCTTAGTCTTTTACAACATGGAATCAACTCATGCCTGCATTGAATATATTGAAATAAAATATTTCAATTTTGTAAAACTCCAATTAATGTTATATTAGTTTGCAAACCATTCAGCTTCCTTTTTTAAAAAATTTTTCTGGAAAATAATCTGGTATAAGCTTAGTAATATGCATTATATATTTTAAAAAATGTGAAATCCTACCAACAGTGTTTTATTTACAAATTTCTCAAATTCCAAAAGAAAAATCTCAAATTCACTGTTACCCATATTAACTACTTCCTCTTGATTGTTTGCCCTTCCTCCCCTGAAATCTTTCCATTGAAGGGTGAGAAGAAGGCGGAAAAAAGAATAATGGGGCTGTCTGTTATATCCTGATTGCCTCCTGGAGCTTGAGCGCCCCTGAAGGAATTCTCTTCAGGAGAAACCAATGAGTGAGGCAGGCTGTTCCCAGTAGGGGCCAGGCCGTGGTAGGATGCAGCCTTACACAGATTCCCCTCTGGAGAAAGGAGGGAGAATCCAAAGGCATGAGTCAAGTGGAATTGAACTCCTAGAATGCATTCTTCTGCTGCCCCTACCCTGTCAGCAGCCCTGTGACATTACTGTGCAGAATGAGAAAGACAATAATAGTGTTATTAGCCTGGAGACCAAAATTAGTTTATAGTAGAATGAAAATAAACATATTAGACATAAAAATAAAACATTTTCCTTTAAATTTGGCTAGAGAGACTTTTCTTTGAAGGAACTTGAGGAGTTTGAAGAAAGGCAAACATTATCGTGTGTTCAATGTAAGTCTGTGAGGTTTGAAGAAACGAGAAATCAGGAGTCAAAAGCTAATAGCTGATAATTGAACAAATGCTGAGGTCTTCCTGGTGCAGAATAATCTGGTAATTGACAGTTGTTGTTTCCTGGTCTCTTATAAGTGCTTCTAAAAACTGACATTACTGTTCTTTATTTTATGTACAGAGCTTTTCTGAAACACAAGTGACGATTGAAAATCTGTCCCCGTAACCACCCAAAATACAACTTGGATGGGATTTCCTATATCTTACTCTCAAAATGTAATAGCAAATGTGGACCAGTCCTATAAGATCAGGATCAGCAAGGATTTGATTTGCTTTCTTTACAAATGTTAGTGCCTCAGAGAGACAAGGTGATAGGAGAACTATGAACAGGCTAGAGCCATTGGTGACTGGTTATAGGCCAAAATCTTCTAAGGATGGCTCTCATTCCAAAATTTCTGTAGTAATTTGATGGGNCATGATTTCTTCTTCAGTGTTTATATGAATTTCCCAATGGCCAAAACCAAAATACTATCCAATTCTGTATATAAATTACGGAGTTCATCGTGGTGTGTTTTTTGCTCATTCACTTCATTCCACCTTCACCATTATGTTCTGAATATTGTTAAGATATTTACTCTGAGCCCAAGTTTTGAGTGTCACTCTGCGTTTAGTCATTGTTTCTTTTGGATTTTTATGGCAGTTGCAGCTCAGTTGTTTGTCAGATGTTGCATTTTCTGCTCAGCTGATGCCGTTATTTTTCTGCCTTACCAGGTTATCATTGCCCTGTCAGAAAAACACCGATCACACATTCCATATAGGAACTCCATGATGACCAGTGTCCTCAGAGACAGTTTGGGAGGGAACTGCATGACGACCATGATTGCCACGCTCTCTGTAGAGAAAAGGAATATCGACGTATGTTGGCTCTTCTTTCTGGAGCTCTCAGTCTGAATTTCCATTGCTAGTTGGTGAGATGGAGTCGAGGCTCCTGGGAGGGTTTCCATCTTTTCGGCTGGGTTTAGGCATGCCTTCAGGGGTAAATACCCTACAGAATTCCCAGCTTTGGGTTATCTGCCAGCATTATAATTACCCCGTCTGAGAACTGACTTCACATAGCACAGGATGGTTTGAAGAAGCCTCCTACACATCTCGGAAGACCTGCTGATGGGTTAGTTACCTTGGTCAGAGCTGTGAGAAAGGACACCCATCAGCTTCTCCTGCTCTGTTGTGCTCCTGATCACTGAGATACCTTGAGACATCGCCAAGATGTGTCCCCAGACGTGATGCTGGGCATGATACCCAGGATGCCTTGTCAGGAGGCTAGCTGCCCAGTGGATTTCTTGGGTTGCTTTAGAGCCAGATGATGTTCATGCATTTCAGTTTAGTGTTTGGGATTCAGACTTTCTCCAAAAGAGGAGAACAGGAAGTGACAGGGTACCTCACAAATCAAGGCCAAACCCCAAGTGCGCTGTAAGATGCCATGAAAAGTTACTTTTTGATCCATTACAAGCACTACCTATTGTGTAGTCTTTCATGTTTATGGGTCATGGCACCTGCTCTGATTATGATTTGTCTATGTGGTTCTGCTTTAACAGTTCAATAGTTGAGAAACACATCCTGGTTGCCACTGGGGACCTCAGGGTCTCCCACACTTTTGGCATTGGCCATTTTATTAAGCCCACACAATATTTTAATGAAAAATAATGTTCTAGCGCAAAGCTCCCAATTTGGAGGCAAATTTCCTTATTGTGTTTAGTACACATCACTCTTTAGATGGGCATCTTTTTCCTGAGATCAAAACTTTTTATCTC